TCCTCCTATTGTATACCACAGTGGGTTTCCTGCACATTCTTCTCTGGGGATTTCTCAGGCATGCCTGTCTTCTCTTCCTTGATTCTTTGACACTTGAGGACTCTGCAGTTTTAAAGAAAGAAGATGCAACTTTCCTACAGATAAGTCCACGAAAGACTGTTCTTTCCTTCGTCCATGTTCTTTAAAAATGTAATTTATCTTCTAAATTCCCCTTTGAATCAGTCTTTTATGAAATACATTTTAAGGGAATACTATTGTGTTAAGTTTTCAATTAAAACACTTGGCCTTATCATATGCCTTTTATGTCCAATGAACACAAAGAACAGAATTTCAGAGTGAATAAATGATATGGATGAACCACGGATTGCCACTAAATCCGTCACATTATTTCACTTGCTTTATGAATCTCTAAGCACAAAAGTAGCCCCACAGACAAAAATAACACTATTTAGAATATGCTACGTTTCTGAGGCGCTTAATGTTTGCCGATGATCTTTTATTGCTCTTATTTTATCTTGATTTTACCAGGACCAGCAAACTGTGAACTCAAAAGTCTCAATCAATTTAGAAAGTTTATTTTTGCCAAGATTAAGGATGTGCCCATGACAGTCTCAGGAGGTCCTGACAACATGTGCCCAGGGTGGTTGGCGCATAGCTTGGTTTTGTAAATTTTAGAGATACATGAGACATCCATTGATATGTGCAAGATGTACACTGGTTTGGTCCAGAAAGGCGGGACCCCTTGAAGCCAGGATGGGACTTCCACTTCAGAAATAGACAAGAGACAAAAGGTTGAATTTTGAGTCTCTGATGAGCCTTTAACTGAACATACAATTTACATGTGAGAGGCGGGTAGAGGAACAGTCACCGATGCCTTAGTCTGGCTCAGTGACTCAACAGGCAGAGGAAGCGATCACACATGAATTTGTCTCAGGTGCACGGAGGAGGACTTTGAGTTCTGTCTGTCCTTCGTCCACAGGGAATTTCCTGTGGGCAAATTGTGCTGGAGACACGTAGCTGCTTACCTTTGTAGCATGTTATTTAGGAATAAAATGGGAGGCAGGTTTGCCTGACGCAGTCCCCAGCTTGACTTCGCTTTGGCGTAGTGACTTTGGAGTCTCTAGATTTATTTTATTTTATTTTTTTCACAGAACATAGTTTAGGACACTGTTAACTTAATTCACAGAGAAAGAAATTAGAACCCCAAGAGGCTGCTTGACATCACAGCATGAGTCCAGGGCAGCTCCAGAAAGAAGGAGCAGGGGAAACGAGGAGAGGATGGAGTGTGGGTGGCAAAAAGAGCAGGTGCTGCAGGTGATGAGGCAATGATGCCAGTGATGAAGGAGTGAGCGATGCCGACATAAAAAGGTGCCTGGCGATGAAGAGCTAGCGTCGTGGTCTCCACCTGCACCTGCGTATATTATTCAATCACAGTAGACTCAGGATTCCCACCCTAAGCAGTGTCTGCACTGAGGGCTGGGAAGAACTTAGGAAGGCCTGTGGCACTTCCCATGCCCCTGGAAGGTTCGCCTGTATCCACATCTTACTCCCTGTCTTACTCCCTCCCTGTGCTGGGCCACGGAGCCCCACAGAGCTGGTTTTGCCCAGCACCAATCATTCACACTACACTTGGAAGCCACTGCAACCAGCCAGCCCACCTTGCATCCTTGTTACCAGGGTCTCCGTGCCCCATCCCATACCTCGCCAGTGCTCTGACCCCGGTATGGTTGTGCTCAGCCCCAACTCTGACCCAAACTCCCTCCTGGAAGACGTTCCCTGGGCCACATGACATTCTGTGCCATCAGTACTCCTTCTCCCGTAGCCTCACCCTTGTTGACTGGGGTCCAACATCGGCGTTGAATGTAAAAGAGTGGCGGGATTAGGAGGGGAGCCTCTATGAAGAGAGATAGAAGACTGAAAGTTCTCTCACCATGTTTCAAACATTTGACCTTTAATTCAGCAGCAAGGAGAGTGACAGAGAGCAGTAAGTGAGGTGGGAGGAGTATGGGGTGGGGGGAGTGGAGCCCCAGGAGCTGGGTGAGGAATGTGATGGGGTGGGAGCGAGCAGGTGTGTCCCACGGTGTTGAGAGTCAGGGAAGGGGAGGACTCCACATTCACTGTTGGTTTAGGCACACGGATGCCCCAGAAAGCCTGGCACAAGCTGTCTGCAAGGACCAGCAGAAGTGAAATCAACCAGAGTGGCTTCAAAAGAAATCGGAAGAAAGAGACAGAAACAGCAAGCCTGGGCAGCTTTGGGGTTGTCGATTAATTAGTGTAAGTCACACTAGTTTCTCTCACAAGGAAGCCAACAACATCTCTGTGGCTAAACACTAGATTTTATTTTTCACTCAAGTTGATCGAGTCTAATGGGGTGGGAATTTGGGGGTGGGGGTGAGAGATCCCTGTTCCACACAGTCTTGTAAGCACAGCTTCCTTCAAATCTCCCCATCTCTAAGGTCCTCTGCACGTGCCTGGCACACAGGGCCATGCTCTGCTGGTGGTGGCATTCATGGGCTGGGGAGGAGTTGGGTCACTCCCAGGAATGTTTCATCACCAGCACTCAGTCACATGGCCGGCCGTCACTGCAAGGGACGTCTAGAAATGCTGACCAACTTGGAGGGACAGGAATGGTCAACTTTATGTCAACTTGACTGGGCTAAGGGGTGCCCAGGTTGCTGGTAAGACATTATTTCTGGATATGTCTGTGGGGAAGTTCCTGAAAGTGACCAGCATTTTAGTTGGTGAACTGACTAAAGCAGGTGGCCTTCCCAGGGTGGGTGGACTTCACCCAATCTGTGGAGGGCCTGAGCAGGACAGAAAGGCCAAGGAACGGAGACTGCTCTCTCTGTGTCTGACAGACGAAGCTGAGGTATGGCTCCTCTACCTGAGAGCTGGACTCCTGCTGGCAGATCATCTGGGCCTCTCACGGTGGATGGTAGATTCTGAGGCCTCTCAGGGTGGATGGTAGATTTTGGGGCCTCTCACGGTGGACGGTAGATTCTGGGGCCTCTCACGGTGGCTGGGCCCCTCACGGATGGGTAGATTCCTTGAGGCCTCCTCAGGTGGATGGATTTTGGGCCTCTCACGGTGGACTTTTCGTAGATTCTGGGCCTCTACGGATTGCAGATTCTGGGCCTCTCACGGTGGACGGTAGATTCTGGGGTGGCCTCACGTGGACGGTAGATTCTGGGGCCTCTCACGGGACGGTAGATCTGGAGGTCACGGACGGTAGATCTGAGGCCTCAATGGACGGGGAGATTCTGGGGGCCTCTCTACGGTGGATTTGCAGGATTCTGAGGCCTCTCACGGGACGGATTGGGCCTCACGGTGGACGGTAGATTCTGAGGCCTCTCACGGTGGACGGTAGATTTCGGGGCCTCTCTCGGTGGACGGTAGATTTCGGGGCCTCTCACGGTGGACGGTAGATTTCGGGGCCTCTCACGGTGGACGGTAGATTTCGGGGCCTCTCTCGGTGGACGGTAGATTTCGGGGCCTCTCTCGGTGGACGGTAGATTTTGGGGCCTCTCTCGGTGGATGGTAGGTTTCGGGGCCTCTCATGGTGGATGGTAGATTTCGGGGCCTCTCTCAGTGGATGGTAGATTTCGGGGCCTCTCACAGTGGGCAGTAGGTTGTGGGGATTTCCAGCCTCTGTAGTCACATGGGCCATTTCCTTAAGGTAAATCTCACCCTAGATAAAGGTGTGGCTCCCACCAGTTCTGTTTTTCTGAGAGCCCTGACTACACTCAGTCGAAAGGCTTGGTAGATATCCAGACCATGCCTGCCCCAGAAGAACGGAGTCACTAGCTGGTGGGGAACGTGGTGTAGACAGGGAGACTTTACATAAAGATTGGAACATGATAGAGGGTTTTTGATGCTGATAGGAAGGATTCAGCTGAGGGATGCCTGTGGGTCATGAGCCCCCAGTTGACTGAAAGGGAGAGATTTAATGGCATGGGGGAGAGAGAGCTGCTGCAGACATGTGCTTGATTTAGTGAGGGGGATGGGACCCAGGGCATGAAGCCCCACAGCAATGGTTTGGGCAACAGCATGTTGGATTTACCTCTGGCAAGAGGAGAATAGGTGGAAGCAAGTCCTAGTTGGGTCCTGATGGGGCCATTGAAGGCTCTCTTCTCATGGGTCTCAGTCATCCCTGATCAGGATGAGGGAAGTGAGGGTCATGGAGTTACCAGGGGAATGGGCTGGCGATTAAAGCGGCTGAGAAGGAAGAGGAACTGCCACCAGCTTCTCCCACAGTGACGCCTCTTGGCTTTTGAGTGGATGCCACCTTTTAAAGGATGCAACTTTCTCGGTATTTGCTCCGTCAACCACGTCCCGACACTAACCTTCCACATTTATGTCAATAGCATAATTGCTTACATTTTTATTTTATTTTATTTTACTTATTTTATTATGAGACAAGCTCTCACTCTGTCACCCAGGCTGGAGTGCAGTGGTGTGATCACAGCTCACTGAAGCCTCAAACTCCTGGGTTCCAGTGATCCTCCCGCCTCAGCCTCCCAAGTCACTGGGATTGAGTGAGCTTTCATTTAAGACACAAACTTAAACATTATTCTTGAGTTTTCTCTCTCAGACCCAACACCAGTCCACTGGGGTCCAGCAACCTTCACGTCCTGCAGGCGTCCCGAGCTGATCCCTTCTCGCCCCTCACCCCGGTGCCAGTTGCTGGTCGCCTCTCCCTTCCCCCAGCTGCCCTCCCGACCACACCCCACATTTCCTGGACCAAACAGTGATCATTTACATCATGCCACTCCCTTTCTCAAAATTCTTCACCATCTTTCCTTCCAACTAGGAACTCAAACCCAAATCCTGAAACAAGCACCCCCCAGGTTTTCAAACCCAAATCCTGAAACAAGCACCCCCCAGGTTTTCAAACTCAAATCCCTAAACAAGCACGCCCCAGGTTTTCAGAGCCACACTGGCATTTTCAGCTGCAAACTCCCCCACCCACCACCCACCATTCTGCTTGGGTTGTCAGAAAATTGGCCACATTCTCTTATTCATTCTACTATTTTAAAATTTCTGTGTTCACAATGATATGATCTAAAAATGCAGATGATATCCATCTTCCTTGCTGTTTTCCTTCCAATCCTTTTGCTTAGTTTTTTCACCTTGTTCTCCCGGGAGCCCCTGTTGCTGACGCCGATGCTGGGGTCTCGGGTGTTCCTTCTCATCTCGCTCCTGACTTGAGGAGGCAGATTTCAACATGGAACAGCAGGTAGGGTTTGGCTGCAGCTTTTTGTTTTGTCTTTGTTCTGTTTTGTATCTGAACTCTGTTAGCTTTACGACCTTCCCTTTTATCTGGAGCACGTGGATCCATTCTGTGTTTCAGGGTGGGGTTTTACTCTTCTGCTGAGGGTGTGGCCTTTTCTGATCCCGGCTTTAGGAGAGGATGACTTCCTGTCGAAGCCCTCACTTTCCCAGGTCTCCAAACTTTAAGAGATCATGAAATTCCCGTTCACCTTTCCTTGGTTTAGCTGGCATCCTTGGGACAAAAGTTGGGCTGTGCTTGGCCACACCCTCTGTGTCACAGGCTTATAGTCTACCCTGATCATCGCTCTCTGACACGTCCGCTAGTCAATCATTTTTAAATACGCTTCTTAGGCTTCCTTCTGCGTTCTGTTACTCTCACAGGGAAAGCTGATCTGAGCGACGTGCTGTGCTCCAGCACTGGGAAGCTCTCTGCTTAGCCACAGAACCTCACCACCGCTCTTTCCTGTCCTCTTCTTAAAAACAATGATTGTGAGTCTCTATCTCTCAGAAGACCATTTTCTGTATTTTACAATGAGATTTCAAGAAAGAGTCAGAAGAGCTAGGTTAGTGTTATCCACTGTCTTTGTGCAAATCCCAGCCCCTTTTTTTGCCCTGCACCGCAATGTTCTCCTCCTGGCCAAGAAAAACATGTGGAGGGAGATCACATAATAAAGTGGGGGATCTCCAGCTGAACAGAGACTCAGAAGAAAAGCACTTAGAAAACTGTCAGGTGAGTTTTCCCTGGCACATTCAGTTACATGTTGACACTTCAATAAAATAAAATGATTCAAAGTTTATGGATTTTAAAGAAACATACCCAAACTTATACACTGAAAAGTGGTTGTGCCCTTCAAGATAATCCCTTTGGAAGGATGCATACTTCCAAAATGAGGCAATGAGTGTTACAAAAAAATATTTTGGGGCCTCTCTTTCTCTCTCTCTCTCTCTCTTTTTTTTTTTTTTTTTTAAGACAGAGTCTTGCTCTGTCACCCAGGCTAGAGTGCAGTGGTACGATCTTGGTTCACCTCCGCTTCCCAGGTCCAAGTGATTCTCCTGCGTTAGCTTCCCAAGTAGCTGGGATTACAGGCACTTGCCACCATGCCTAGTTAATTTTTGTATTTTTTTGTAGAGATGAGGTTTCACCATATTGGCCAGGCTGATCTTGAACTCCTGACCTCAGGTGATCCATCCACCTTGGCCTCCCAAAGTGCTGGGATTACAGGTGTCTCTTTTTTTGAATGCTAGCCTTGTATCCTATGATGGTGGAGTTGACTTTTTGAAAACAGTCAACATTAGATTCAGTAAAGTATGGTGAATAAGAAATGTTCAGTTAGCATGTTGTCATTTTTGACATGTGTGTGCGCGTGCATTTAAACAAATGTAGTTATTGGCAGTTTCTTGTATAACTGGAGGTATTTCTAAAAGGGGGTTTTGTTAGATATTGAGAGGGTGTTTGGAAATTCAATGGAGATGACTGGTTTAGCTTCCAGGGTGACTGACACTAGTCCTGGACCCCTCAGTCGTGGCCCTCGGAAGGAAGCCCAGGATGCATCGGGGCCTTTCCACCTCCTTGCAGTTCTGAGCACTCTTAGAATGTTCCAATTGCTTCTTGGATTTCTTGTTAACTTCCTGTTCTTTAAACAATCTCTTCTTTTCTTATATCTTGCCTTGTTCCAGGAGTAGTTTCCTGATAAGAAAAACTCACCAGACTGTCTCAATTTCTAGACTCCTGCTTTGTGAGACTGCTGGCTTCCTAAAGTTGTGCCAGATCAGCTCCCGGGAAAGGTAAACGTTATTAGCAGGTGCACTGAGGCTGTTATCTGCCAACATCATCCAGCAGGAAAATGAGACAAAAGGAAAAAGGATGTTTGTTTTAAATTTAGTGTAAAATTATATAAATAAATAAAACCACAGAGAAATTAGATATCTCTAAGGAAAAGAAGAAACCTCAGCCTCACACCTTCTACAAAAATCAACTAAAAATGGATCACAGATTCAAATATAAAACATAAAACTACATATTTAGACAATAACATAGGGCAAAGTCTTTAAGACCTAGAGTTTGCAAACGTGTCACCAAAACCACAATCCATAAAAGAAATAAATCAATAAATTGGATTTAATCAAAAAAGCCTTTGCTCTGTTAAGGACCTTGTTAGCCATAAGATCATGTGCAGAGAAGGACCCTGTTGAGACAAGATGCAGACTGGAAGAATATATTTGCAAACCACGTATCTGACAAAGGATTATTATCTAGACATGTAAAGAACACTTAAACGCAACAGTAAAGCAAACAAGCCAATTAGAAAATGGGCAAAAGACATGAACAGACATTTCACTAGAAAGGATCTGTGGATGGTGAAAAAGCACATGGAAAGATGTTCAACATTACTCGCTGTTAGAGAGATGCGATGAGTTCTTTTTACACAGCTAAATTAGAAAAGAGTGACCGCACCAGACGCTGGTAAGGACACGGAGAAACAGGATCATCCACACATTGCTGGTGTGGATATCAAAGGTGCAGGCCACTCTGGAGAACAGGCAGCTCCTTAGAAACTAAGCATACACTTCCCAGTATGACCTGGCAGCTGCTCTCCTGGCCATTTATTCCAGAGAAATGAAAACTTCCGTTTGCAGAAATAACCACGTATGGTCACTCATGGCAGCATTATCTGTAATAGCAAGAAAAAAAAAAGGAACTCTCCAAAATGCCCCCACTCGGTGGACGGGTAGGCAAGCTGTGGTCATCCACACCCAGGAGTGTCACTCAGCAAAGACAGCAACAGGCTACAGGCAGATCTCAAGGGCATTATGCTGAACGAAAGAAGCCAAACCCAAAAGGTCCTATACTGTAGAATTCAATTCATATAACATTATCAAAATGACAAAATGACAGCGATAGGAAACAGATTGGTGGCTGTTGTGAGCTAGAGATGGTGGAGTTGGGGTGGGGAGGAGGCTGTGACTGTGAACATGTAAGTATTCCTGTTCCAGGGTTACCATAACACACGATCACAAACTGGGTGGCTTAAAACAATCGGAATTTATCTTCTTACCATTCTGAAAACTACGAGTCTGAAATCGTGGCTTGGGCAGGGCCACATTCCCTCTGAGGCCCTAGGGGGGATCTGTATCCCTCTCCCCTCTTCCAGCTTCCAGGGGCTGCTGAGCGTCCTTGGCATCCTTGGCTTCTAAATGCATCCAGCCAGACTTTGCATCCATCTTCGCATGGCCTCCCCCGGTGTGGACTTCTGTGCCTCTTCCCAACTTCTCACGAGGAGACCAGTCATTGGATTTGGAGCCCGCCTGACTCTCGTGTGACTTCATCCGTCTTCTCTTGATTACATCCGTAAGGACCCTATTTTCAAATAAGGTCATAGTCAACATTACTGGGGGCAAGGACTCCAACCTATTGTTTTGGGGGGCACAATTCCACAAAGTAGCTCCAGGGAGATCTTAATGGTGATAAAATGTCCTGTATGTAGATCACAGAGGTGGCAGCACAGATATGCACAGGGGGTCACATGGAACCAGGCACACCTTGTACCAGGGACAGCTTCCTGGGTTTGTGTTGTGCTATAGTCATGCAGGATGCACCCACTGGGAGAAGCTGTACAAAGGAGACACAGGACATCTCTGTAGTATCTTTCCAACTACTCTATGAATCCATAAATATTTTAAAATACAAATTTTAAAAAGTAAACAAAAATATGTCATTTCTACCTTCCCCCTCTGCTTGCATCCACAGGTCAAAGTCAGTCACATAATCCCTGCTGTGTGGGAGACACACACACCCCACAAACAAACACACCCCACATTTATGTCATTTGCAGGCTGACTTGAGTTGTAAAACAGTTCTGGGCATGAACGTGTGGTTATCTCTGTAGAAGCAGACAGGGCTTTCTTCCAGCCAGAAAATTCACAGTTCAGTTGAGGAAATGATGAACATCAATTGAAAAACAATTCCAAAATACTTCACAAAATTGCCTTTCCTGGGTCTTCACTTGCTTCTTTCTTTTTACACTTGGCCAATGGGTCAGACCCCATTTCCCCAAGTGATCAAGAATCAGTGAATGAGCTGAATCTTTGAGAACAATTCGAGTCCTCGAGGCCTTTCAACTCTGCTAGGAAACACGTGTTTCTTGGTGAGTCCAGTGGCTTTCGGTGAAATTTGGTTTTCCTTCAAAGCCATCCGCATGTATTGTGTTTAGAAACCTGAAGGAAACCCTGGGGGATTTAGCATCCATGTGCTCACCACAATAGTTTATGGTGTCAGCTTATTTTTGATGTAGATTTTCTTTTGAAGTGCCTTGGAGCTATTGATTCATTTTGGAAAGAAAATAAAATAACCAACACATTTATATTCCATTTTGTTTACTAATATGATAAGACAGTCTCTTTTCCTGTAGACCTAACAGAAACTCTTTTAAAACCTCATCATGTGGAAGTTAAAAATATGGCTTTAGCAGTAAACATAAATGCAGCACAGCTTCATGGAAACATCTCTGAACCTGCTGGCTACCCTGGCTGTCAGGGTTGGATGGCATGCAAAGCGACATATTTATTTCCTGTCTCATTATTGATGACCGTTGCATAGGACCCATACGTTATTCTCTGTTAGTGTCATACACTCAGGCGAAAGGGTTGAGACGTTAATGGGTAGTTTTCCTGAGTTCTGATGTTTCGATTGTGCAAGCCAAACTCACAGTGTGGAAAATGGAACATTTTATGAAGTTCATACATTTTCAAAATTGCTCCTACAATGATGCCTTTGTTTTGTGTTAGGACTGGAATGATGGCTTCTATCTGTTCCAAAGAACTCCAATATTGCCTCAAGTGAAGAGGAAAGCTTCATATTTCAAGGCCACTGACTGGAGCCCATTCACATGCCACAAGGGGACGGATGCCATTGTTTTTTTTATGGCGAAGAAAACGGTGATGTATCGGAGTCTCATCACCCCGTCTCTCCATCATTGTTGGTGTGTAGATCAGCCAGTCTGGCTTGTGTAGCAGGATTAAAATGTTATGTCTCCCAGTGAGCTAGTGAATATCAACACTTTCTCTCTTTCTGTATGTGAAGTCCCTTTTTAGTGGATAAAGCCATTTGTTGACAGAATTATTGACATTTTTATGGGATTGTTTTTGGAAAAGGCTAACGTGTAATTTCAAATTCAACATATGGTAGTGGTCAAATTGTGTTCCTACTGTGTAAAATGCCTGAATAATAACCTACTGCACTCTCTTGGCCAGTACACAGAGCAAAACTTGATTAATTTCACCAGTTTCCCTTAATCTCCTCCTTTGGCTCCCATCCCATTCTGTAAGAATTGATAAATCTTACATCCCCTGAAGATTATTACAGTTCCGAATAGTCTTATGACATTAGAAAGAAGCCAGGCTCAGTGGCACAAAATACATCTAACACATGAAATCACATAAATAATTTAGTTTTCACAATTTAATTTTTATAGTTTTTTTTGTTGTGGTTGCTGCTATTATTGATGGGGTATAATAAGGACTGTTGGCTGACACTGCAGTTAAAAAAATGGGGAACATTTTGACATCAAAAATGTCGATGTTGTTACTACCCTTCACTGTTGACCACGCTCAACGATTCAATTTCAGCCTAAGGTCGGGAATGTGTTCATAAATTATACCATCAGAGAGGCTGATGCAGAAAGAAAAAATTAGCTCATTTTCTTATAGAAAAATACTTTTCTCTCTTGAAAAATGAACGTGGGGCCAATTTTACACATCTCTGGTTCAAAATAACCTGCATCAACTTGGGATCATTAGTAACTATTTCTCCAAAATCCTGTGGCTCTTAACAGCAACGTATCTATTAAGCACCCTGCATGCCAGAGCCTCTGCTAAGTGCTGGGGTGGATGTCAGGCAATTATGATGCATGCCCTTGTTCTCAGAGTTAATCCTTCATCAACACACACCCATCCAGTAGGTGATTGACAAAGGAACACAGAAAGTCTATTTGACACTATGGATGTAAAGATTGGCCTGGGATTTGTTTTCTAATAGCTTTAAATTATTTCTTTTCTTTTCTTTTTTGCCCTTTCCTTTCCTTTTTTCTTTCTTTTCTTTCTCTTTCTTCCTTTTCCTTCCTTCCTTCCTTCCTTCCTTCCTTCCTTCCTTCCTTCCTTCCTTCCTTCCCTTTCTTTTTCTTTCTGTCTTTCTTTCTCTCTCTCTCTTTCTTTCTTTCTTTCTTTCTTTCTTTCTTTCTTTCTTTCTTTCTTTCTTTCTTTCTTTTCTATCTCTCTCTATCTCTCTCTCTCTTTTTTTTTTTTTGACAAGGTCTTGCTTGTAGCCCAGCTGAAGTTCAGTGGCACAATCACAGCTCACTGCAGCCTCGATCTCCTGGGCTCAAGTGATCCTCCTGCCCTTTCCTTCTTTCTTTCTTTCTTTCTCTTTCTTTCTTTCTTTCTTTTCCTTCTTTCTTTCTTTCTTTCTTTCTTTCTTTCTTTTTTCTATCTCTCTCTATCTCTCTCTCTCTTTTTTTTTTTGACAAGGTCTTGCTTTGTAGCCCAGCTGAAGTTCAGTGGCACAATCACAGCTCACTGCAGCCTCGATCTCCTGGGCTCAAGTGATCCTCCTGCCTCAGCCTTCTGAGTAGCTGGGACCACAGGTGCACACCACTATATCTGGCTAATTTTTTATTTTTAAAATTTTTTTCATAGAGACTGAGGTCTTGTTATGTTGCCCAGGCTGGTCTTGAACTCTTGGCCTCAAGCCATCCTCCCACCTCAGCCTCTTGAACTTTGGGATCACAGGCATGAGTCACGGCACAGGAACCCAAATAAAAATATTTGTGGTAGCCAAGTGTGGTGGTGCGTGCCTATAATCCCAGCTACTCGGGAGTTGCTTGAACCCCAGAGGCGGAGGTTGCAGTGAGCCGAGATTGTGCCACTGTGCTCCAGCCTCCTCGACAGAGTCTCAAAAAAAAAAAAAAAAAAAAAAAATGTGGTGAGCATTACGTAAAATGTTAGATTTATAATGTAATTAATGGAGATGTCATACCTAAAGTTATGTTGGGACAAGTCTGCTGTGTCACCCTAACTTCTCAAACCTTGGTTGATTGAAACCAGGTCTAAAAGCTTAAAGAGATCTTAAGGCTTAGTTCTTCTTATAGAGAGATCTGAATTGCTTTTCCTCGAACATCTTATGGTAGGTGCAGTGTTAGTCCCTGGGAGTACAAGGCAGAGCCCAGCATGCCCTAAGTACGGTCCAGTCCGTCCTAAGAATGGCGGGGACGGGGACGCGAAGGGCACTGCCATTCACTGAACGCCTGACAAACCTGTGTAGACAGATGTCAGTCGTCTTACCTTGCACACACACACGGAATCCTCCAAACTTAAAGACCTCGAGCAAGAGTTCATCGAGTCTCGTGAGTATGTGGGTGGGTGGACTGTGGTCCTTCTACCAGCCCTGCATGTTGGGGACCCAGCAGGGGTCCCCCAGTTCTCCTCCACATGTCCCCGTTCCTCTGAGAGACCAGATGGCTTTTTCTACATGGCTCTGAGGGCCCCCAGAGAGTACATAGCTGCTGGATCTCTCATGGGCTTGGCCCAAAATTGGCACAGGACCACCTCTACTGCCTCCATTGGTCAAACCAAGTCACAAGGTGAGCCGGAGTTCAAGGCGGGGAAACAGACTACCGCTGGTGGGAAGAGGGGCGTTCAGGTGCTGGAGGGGGTTTGCTGGTGCCATCATTGCAGAGACACCCTCATCTGCCTCCATAGCATCCCTGTGTCATCTTAACAGCCATCATCTAAAGAAAGAGGTTTCACTGTTTTTATTTTTGGTGCTATTTTTTAAGTGAGAAAACTGAGGATTAGAGATATAAAGAAATAACTACCTGAAGTCCTCTAAACATCGGTGGGAGTACTTGTTAAGCATCAAGGGGCTTCGGATAAGACAGATTGGCAATTAAATGCCTCTCCTATTTACTGCCTAGAAAACTGAGGGCTGCGTGTATATCTTTTCTGCAGAATAAGGATAATGCCTATCTCGGAGCTGAGCAGGAAGGTATAGGTGAGCTGCTCAGCTGGGGCCTGTAAGTAGCCAGTCCTCAGGCTTTTTGTACGACTGAAGAACACTGAGCTGGTGGCTAGGAGGTGCGACTTCCAGTTCCAGTCAGTTGCTACTTGACTGTTAAAATTCGAAGAAATAATTTGAAGTCCCTAAAATAAATGTTTTACTTTATAAAAATGGGCTGGGTGCAGCGGCTCACACCTGTAATCCCAGCACTTTGGGAGGCCGAGGCAGGTAGATTACCTGAGGTCAGGAGTTCGAGACGAGCCTGACCAACATGGTGAAATCTTGTGTCTACTAAAATTATAAAAATTAGCCGGGTGTGGGGGCAGGTGCCTGTAATCCCAGCTACCTGGTAGGATGAGGCAGGAGAATCATTGTACCCAAGAGGTGGAGGTTGCAGTGAGCTGAGATTGTGGCATTGCACTCCAGCCTGGGCAACAAGAGCGAAACTCCATCTCAAAAAAAAAAAAAATTATACAAATGAAAATATTTGATGATCTTCAAGTTTCCTTCCTTGAACAGGTTTTTAAAATCAGTTCTATTTGCAAATTTATAAACAACCAGGGTACCATGGTAATTAAAATCAGAGTGGAAAAGAAAGATGAAAATTAGCATAGTGTGTAAAGAACTATTGCCAAGCCGAAACAACAGAAAAGAATGTTTCCATAGATATATGGGAAAATTGTCAAGAATTGTCATAATAGACAATTAATGAAAGAATTGCAAGTGGTCAGCCCCCTGATGGACACATACCTAACCTCAATAATAATCAAAGATATTCAAATATAAACAAAGATAAGCTATTAATGTTCATTTGTTAAATTGTTAAATGTGGCTGGATGTGGTGGCTTACATCTGTAATCTCAGAATTTTGGGAGACTGAGGCAGGAGGATTTCTTAAGGCTAGTTCGAGACTGGTCTGCACAACATAGAAAGATCCTTTCGCTACAAAAAAATACAAAAATTAGTCCCAGCCATGTGGGAGGCTGAGACGGGAGTAGTGCTTGAGTCCAGGATTTCATATGAGCTCTGACTGCCACTACACTCCAGCCTGGGCAACAAGGCGAGACGCTGTCTCTGAAAACAATGTTGGTGGTATAGCATCAAAATCTTTCAAGGGGTCAGTTTGGCAATATTTATCGAGAGCATTAAGAATTTACCTCTGACCCAATAATTTCAGCCTTTAGAAATGGAGAGATGTGTGCGCCAATGACAAACACATTTATTGCAGCATAATTTACAAAATTTCAACCCAGAACGCTACTTAAATATGCAAAAAAAAGATGGGGAACTTTAAATATATTATGATACATGTGATAAACAGCAAAACAGGCCTTAAAGTCTGTACTTTTCATAGTATTTCATACTCTGGGAAAACATTTGCCACAGGATAATGATGAATAAAAGAAGAAACCCAAACTACAAATTGAGTGTCATTCCAACTAAAGGAAAAGATAAACATGTTCCCAGAGAAAAATTCTGAGAAAAAGCGACACCAAAGTCTTGAGAGTGTCTATGTAAAAAACAGTTGCATAGCTGACGATTTTTACATTATTCTGTGTATTGTTCTGAATGTTCAAAACTGTAGCGAACCTGCAAACTTTGTGGTTAACAACAACAGCAAAACCACAGAAAATGCAAAAACAAACAAGTCTCTTTTCTTCAGCTATTCTGTGAATCTCTTGAGCATCACAACTTTAGGGACCACCTGCTGTGCCCCCCACAGCACTTCCTAGCACTGCCCTCCTAAACCGGGTTAGGGTCACACTGAGAAGCCACACCCAGAAGCCTGGTGAATAGTAGGTTAATAAAACAAAGGTATAACTAGGCTTCCTTGGAGGCAAAACTACAGGTGTCTTTCATTCTTCTTCCGTCCTAAATGCAAATCATTTCTCACGCTCTTTTTAAAATGGATGTTAGGCTGGGCGAGGTGACTCACTCCCATCATCCCAGCACTTTGGGAGGCTGAGCTGGGCAGATGGTTTGAGCCTAGAATATCAGCCTGGGCAACAGGACGAAACACCGTATCTGTAGAAAAATCAAATCGATCGATAAATAAAATAGATGTTATTTTTCAGAGCAAGTTTAGGTTTGCAGAAAAATTGCAGAGCAGGTACAGACAGTTCTGATCTCTAGTCTTCCTCCTGTGTGTTGTTCTGGTTTCACATTTTCATATTGTAATTGAGTTCAGTTCACACTCAGTAAATGTGAAATGGTTTCATCATAACCATACCGATGCAGTGCCTAAAAGAAAACACACGGCAGCCGATTTTGCTTCCCAACACTGCATTCAGGGTTTCTGCTGTCACCCTGCCGGCAGTGAGCTAGAGGGCCCATCCCACGGGATCTGGTCCCTGGAGAGGTGCCACAGCCTGTGGGCCACGGAAGAGCGGAGAAGCCTGGGACCCTGTCACTTCTCAGAGCAGCGCTTCACATGGCAGAAGGAGCTGCTTTCGGAAGAGCTAAAGGTTGCCATAAATATTTATAAGAGACCTGGCATTGCTGCGCTGGAGGGCAGTGTCTTATTATAAAAGTCACAAATAGAGCTGAAAAAACAGTGGCTTCCACATGACAGCTATGTGTGTGTGTATGTATGTGTGTGTGTATGTATGTACGTGTGTGTGCACGTGTGTGGGGATACATATTTGCACACATATGTGTTCAATCTGTGGATACGGTACTTATGTGCCCTTCTATACCTGGTTTCTTCCTTTTCTACACATACATTTATCTGTTTTTTAAAATTCAACTTTTATTGTTCCTTGTCCTGCCGGTGGCTCTGGCGACATGTCACGCCAGATTCCAGCGTAGTTTCCTTGCTGCCTTGCAGCCAGACGTACGCAGTGTGCAGACGGAGCTGCTCAGCAAGGAGGCGCAGCGATCAGGTGCCACGTCCACACCGGGTGAGGTGTGAGGTGAGGGCTCCCTGCGCCACCCTGGCGTCCAGGCGGTGAGGGCTGCATGGAAACGTGGACTTCGGCAGAGCATCTGCA